TGGAATAAGCTCTGCTTTGGATTGGGGAAGGCTCGCGCTCCAATACAGATATAGGACTATAAGGTGGTGTGTGTGCTTGAGTGTGCACGTGTGTTCATGCGTGTTCGTGCATATAGTCCTTGTATGCACACGTGCGAGTGTGGGTGTGCTCGGGTATGTGTGCTGATGCGTGTATGCATGTGTGTGTTTGTGTCTGTCGCACATGTGTGCACACACACATTCTCTGGCTCTGTCCCAGAGCAATCAGCAGCACCTTCACCTGGATCTTGGATTTGAGAACGATTTGCCCTGAGAGGAGCTTGGCCATCTCCCCAAAAAGACAGAGGCCTCCTCCAAAAGACTTAAACAGTAACGTGCCCAGCAGTTTTATGTATAGCAGCCCAAACAGGAAACAAGCAGAAGTTCCTGAACACGTGGATGGAGAAGCACACTGTGGCATGTTCCTGCCATGGGACACCACCTGGCAATGAAAGGAAACACAAACGCGGAAGGTGACAAAGCATCTACTTGTGATACAAATGCATGAAACAAGCTCTCTGGCGGGGGTGTGTCTGACCTAAGCCACTCTGGGAATGACTGCACACAGCACGGCGCTCTGGCTGACAGAGCTAACTACCACGGGGTACAGGGTGACAGCCGACATGCTACACAGCCTCACTGGAGGTGAACAGTGAAGCGAATGGATGGAGGGTGTTGGAGCAGGGTCCTCCCTGCTGGGGTGGGGGGTTGCAGACGGGCATGGGAGGAGGCGAGAGTGATCCCTGCGGTGATGGATTAGAACTGGAGACACAGTTCAGTCTTAACAGCTTAATATAGACAGGTGGATACATATGAAGATATTTATACATATGTGTCTATACACCAGTTAGTGCACACACACTTCCTTGTTTTCTCAGCTGAGGGCCTAGAGGCAAGGACACCCCAAGAGCAACTGGCACACCAGTGCCCAGACTGGGGTTTCTAACAGCATCTCCAAAAAAGGGGACCAGGGTCCTTGGAGAAATGGCTGATTCTAGGACTGAGGCAGGAAGTACTCAAGATGAGCCAGGTGTCTGAGAAACTGTCAGAGCCCAGAGGAACCTAAGGAGACGAGATGATTCGATGCCATGTGTGGCCTGGATGGGATCCTGGGGCAGAAAGAGGACATTGGGGGAAAAGTAGGGACATCCAAATAAACCAGGAATTTTAGTTAGTATAGTTTGTGTTTAGTTAGTATAATGTTTTATATTGGGTCATTAATTATAACAAATAAATCATATTATTGTAAGATGTTAATAACAGAGGAAATTGGGTACAGGATACAAATCTAAACCTGTGCTAAAATTAAAAAGTATATTTTAAAAAACAGAAATACAGTTCCAGGCCCAACTAAGCCTGGCAGAGACAGCTGAGGCCCTGTGACTGGAGTCTCTGTGCCAACTTACTACCCTCCTATGTCCCTGTCACCTCACCCGCCTAGAGTCCTGTGATCTCCACCACAGATCAGATGGGTACAGCACCAGCTGCCCAGCCTGGGCAGCCCTTCCTAACCGTCCTCTCTCCTGCCAGAACCTAATGACTGAGCTAATAGGGGGCCCTGGTAGGAGCCAGGACTTTCCTGCCCCCTTAGCTGCAAATCACAGGCTGAGTGGGAGGGTCCCCCTGGGTCAGTGATCTCCTCTTAGATCTGGAGGAACTGAGACACGGGGAGGGGTTCGCCTGATAATCCACCAGGACAAGTCTTCTTGGGGTACAGGCTTGTCTCCTTCCCGCCAGTACCTGCCAAGAGCTTCGGCTCAAAGGTGAATGCTCCACATTTGCCCTGATAAGGGTGACAATGGCACCACCCGTCCAGGGCTTTGGAGGCCTGATGTAGCCCAGTTTGGGGGGTGGGGTGGGCCTGCAGAAACACAGGTCATCCGCCTCCCGGATCACCCAGTGCCATCCCCAGGTTCCCACAGGAAGGGAGTTCAGGTCCCCTCACCTGTCCCACCTCAGCCTCCAGCATTGGGACCCCCTCTCCCCACCTGCAGCACATTATGCATGGGAGACAGATCTCATCCTAACCCCCAGCTCCTGTGATTATGGAGCTCATGGGGCAAAGGCTTTTGCAGACATGACTAAGGTGATGGCCTTGAGATAGGAGATTTTCCTAAGTCACCCAATGGACCCAGTGTGCTCACATGAGTCCTTAAAATCACAGGATCTTTCCCAGCGGTGGTCAGGAGAAGGGAGGGTGGAAGCTGGGTCAGAGAGCTGCTCGTGGCCGCCTTTGACGACGGAGGACAGGCCAGAGGCTGAGGAACTGGGGGAGCCTCTAGAGGCTGGAAAGGGCCAGGAAACCGATTCTCTCCTGGAGCCTCTAGGAGGATTGCAGCCCTGCCCACACCTGGGTTTTAGCCCCGTGAGACCCATGTCATACCTCTGATCTAAGAACCATAAGAAAATAAACGTGTCGTTATACCGCCAAGTTTGTGGTAATTTCAAAACCAGATGATTTCCCTGGTAAATTTGTCAAACATTTAAGGATGAAATTATATCAAATCTACATAATCTATTCCAGAAAAAGAGGGAAGAGAACATTTCCCAACTTCTTTTTATAAGGCCAGGATTACTCTGATACCCAATTAGTCAAAGACATTACATAGAAAGGAAACTACAGACCAATATTCCTCATCAACATAGGCACAAGAATTCTCAACAAAGCATTAGCAACTTGAATCTAGAGATATATATACAGGATCTAGATAATGCATTAAGACCAAGAGAAGTCTGGATAAGAAAATCAAAGACATTATAAGAAAAGAAAACTACAGCCAAGTTCCCTCCTATAAAGAGACACCAAAATCCTTAATCCAATTTTAGCAAATTAAATTCCCCAAAATACGGAAACGATGGCACATCATGGTCAAGTGTAATCATTCCAGGAATGCAAAGTTGGTTTAACATGTGAAAATCAATCCATGTAATTCAACATATTAACAAACTATAAAAGGACAGCTATTGTCATATGCTTCGAGGCAGAAATAGAATTTTACAAAATTTCAACACCCATTTCAAGTCACAGAAATTCTCAGTGAATTAATCAAGACAGTGCGCTATAGTTATACGGAGAAATAAGGATCAATCGCACTGAAGAGGGAGGCTGGGGGTAGACCTACATGGGGCCCACTGAGTTCTGAGAAAGGTGACAAGGGACTTCAGTGAGTAAAGGGTGGTCTTTCAACAAATGTGCTGAAGCACTAGATACTTCTATGGAAAAATCAGAGCCTGAGCCTGACCTCACATCATATACAAGACCTGGGTCAGCTCAGATATGTAGACGGCTGGAAAGAACATCACTCGCACACCTGGACAAACTGCAAATCAACATATTTCCTTGACCCCATCAGAGAACTGAGGTCACAGGGCAAAGAGCTGACCCAAAATCTGCAGAAGAAGACCAAGGACTTGGTCACCTGGGACGGATGCTGCAGGAGCCAGCCAGGGACAAGTGGGTCCCAGAGTCAGGCTGGTGTCTGGGAAGAGTAAGGGGCAGGCTGAGGCTCCCCTAGGCCACAGGAGGGGCCACCTGGACGGCAGTGGGTGATGCAAGAGGTTGGGGGAGTGTCCAAGGGGACCTGACACTGGCTGCTTCTTATCTCACTGTCACTTCCATCCGCCTGTGCCTCTGCTGATGGCACTCAGATCCCAAGATAAAAAGGAACCACTGTGACCAGCAGAACTGCTCAGATAATTCCCAGACGTGGACGCTGTCAGACCACTCAAGGAATCCTGGGTGGGGGCAGCAGGGCTCTGGGTCTGAATCACCCACTTCCTCCACTCTGGATTGGAGGATCCAGCACTCCTCCTCCGGCCCCCTCCTAGTCTAGAAGGATAAATGGGGAGGGGACAGTGGGCTGAGGCAATAGCGACAGGGATACATCAAAGTAAGCACAATCACCAGACCCCAACATCTGGGTGTCAGTGCACTGAGCAGCTGAGCCTCAGATCTGGAGCAGCAGGACCTCAGACCTCACGCCTGAACTGACCCCTGATCCCAGGGACCTAGACTCCATCTGCACCCCACACCCTGCACACCCCCACTTGGCTCAGCCCCCAGCTGGGTCACATGGCCCCTCTTTGCTCCTTCCAGATGCTGAGCCTGCTGGTGCTAGTACTGCCCCTCCTGCTGAGCCTGGTCCACCTGGCCCCTGGTGAGTCCTGACCCCAGCCAGCCCTGTCCCTGCCCCTCACCCCACACCCTGCAAGACCCACGATGGGCGGGTGGGTTCACAGAAGCCCAGGTCTGTGTGGGCACAGGGGCCAGCTAGGTCCAGGTCCTGTCCTGAGGGTACTTCCTGCCCCAGCCCCAAGCCAAGCCCTGGAGAGAA